CACAATACCGTGCCGGTTGACAATGTACCCTAGGAACTTACCCGGTTGACAATGTACCCTAGGAACCCACACTTGTTTGGGTTTAGTTTCATGCTAAATTGACGCAGAATTTAAGTCTTGTATTAATTCCTGTGAAAATTGCGTTTTGACAACCATGTCGTCTACATAACATTCTATTTCCGTGCCAAATAAGGACTGAAACAGTTTATTCACAAGTCTTTGGAAGGTCGCCCCAGCATTCTTCAGTCCGAAGGGCATGACCTTGTAGCAGTACAGGCCGAACTCGGTTATGAAGCCGGTTTTTTCCTCATCGGACTGATCCATCCTGATTTAGTTGTAGCCCGAGTAGGCATCCAAGAAGCTTAGCAACTTATGTTCCGAGGTCGCGTCCACTAGGCGGTCAATTCTGGGGAGGGGGAAACAGTCTTTCGGGTAAGCTCGGTTCAGGTCGGTGTAGTCGACGCACATGCGCCACTTGCCGTTTGCCTTTTTCACCAGCACTGGGTTGGCTACCCAGCTAGGGTAATGAACTTCCCTTATGAGGTCTGCTGCAAGGAGCTTTTCGACCTCCTCGTCGACCGCCCTCCAGCGCTCCGGGGCTAAGTTGTGTTTCTTCTGTCTAATGGGTCTGACTACAGGGTCAGTATTAAGTTTGTGAGTTATAAGGCTGGGGTTAATACCGGGCATATCGGCCGCGGACCATGCAAAAATATCTAAATTTTGAAGTAAGAAACTCACTAGTTCGGTTCGTAGAGGTTCCTTGACGGAAGCACTGATCTGTAGTGTTCGAGCTGGGTCCGTAGCCAAAGTTGGGATTGTGATCGTTTCCTCTGTGGGCGAAGCTCGTTCCTCGCCCTGCTCTGTAGGCCGCTCTAGATCGAGGTCGTCGGCCGCCTTGGTTTTTCCCTTCAGGGCAGCAACATAACACTTGCGGGACTCAAGTTGGTCGCCCTGCGCTACCCCCACACCGAAGTCTGTAGGGAACTTCATTGCCAAATAGTAGGTGGAGACCACTGCCCGTAGGATATGTGTAATTGGCTGCCTTATTATGGCATTGTATGGGGAGGGGGTCGCGACCACCAGGAAATCGTGGTTAAGTCTGACCACACAAGGCCATGTGCTGACTTCCACAGGTACTGTCATTTTCCCAAGGGGCCTGACTTCCTCTCCGCTGAAGCCCACCAGAGGAGTGTTCGCGGGCTTCAACTTGCTTCTCTGCAACTGCAGCTGGTCAAACGCCAACTTGAAGAGGATGTCTGCCGAGCTGCCCGAATCCACAAGTACGCGCCTGACCTCAAAGTCGTTGATCCTTAGTTTTATGACAAGCGCGTCATCGTGGGGGTAGTGGACCCCTCGCACATCGTCTTCCATGAAGAAGATCGGTTGTTCAGTCTTCAGCCTCTATGGAGGGTTCTGTTCTTCTCGGGCTGCTTTGCGAACTGACGTCCGGTCCGCTGCCGAAGTACAACCTGCTACCACCGAACCTCCCACTATCACATGGATGGTTCTTCGAACTGGCCTCTCTTCCGGAGGCTGTCGTTGCAACGGTTCGGCTGGCCTGCTGCTGGATTCGGGGGCATCCCTTCCGTGCTTTCCTTGCCGACCTGCCTTATTGTTATTATTATTATTATTATTATTATGCTGTACAAAATTTCTCAAGTATCCGCGACGGATGAGTCCYTYTATCTCGTCCCGGAGATTATTACACTGTTCGGTACTATGACCGTGATCTCTATGGAAACTACAGTACAAGTTTTTATTTCTCTCGTTTGGGTTCCCCTTTAGACGAGGTGGCCATTTTATGTATGGGGCATCTTTGATCGCCATCAAGATCTCGGTCCGCCTCGTGTTTAACGGTGTGTAGTACGTCCGAGCTGCAAAGGGAGCTCGGAATAGCTGGCTCGGCTTCGTCTCCCGGGTTGGGTTTTTTCTTCTGTCAATTGGGTTGGAGGGCTCGCCTTCCCTCTTCCTTTTCTCGATCCCGCTTTCGGTCCTTTGGTTGATCTCTTCCTCTGTTCTCATGGACTTATCCGCGAGCTTGAAAAATTCGGCCATGGTCGTGGGCTGGTTAGCTACCATGTGCCATTTGAACTCCTTGTGTGTTACTCCTCTCTTGGCCGCCGCGAGCTACACCGTGGGGTCCAATCGCGGTATCTGCAAGCACGCGTCATTGAACCGCTTGATGTAGCCCCGGATGGACTCTCCTTCCCTCTGGACTACTCCGAAGATGCTTTCCTCGGTTCTGGGGCACCGCTTGCTGGTAACGAAGTGTGCGGTGAAGACCTGCACGAACTGGGTCTAGCTTCTTATTGACCCCGGGGCCAGGTTCCTGTACCAAGTGCGGGCCACCCACTGGAAGGCATCGACGTGGTCGTTGGGGTCAAAGGACCCATCATACTTGTCTAGAGGAGGGAGCTTGAAGTCTCTGGGCATGGGGACTGCAAGGAGTTCTGATGAGAGGGGGGAAGGAACTGAGAGAATAGGGGCAAATTTTACCTCGTTCGAGCTTGTCTCTTCTTTAGCTCTGAGCTCGGGTAGGACACGGGTGGAAGTTCGGCAACTTCGCCGGCGCCTTCGTTGCTGAGTGGGCCTGGTACTGGCGCTGCTGGCCTCTGTGTTGCCGAGCCCGATGGGCCCGGACTGTTGGTAGTCTGCTGCTAGGGCGCTGAATCGATTTTCTGTCAGCGGGAGCTCAGACTTGGAATGCCGAGATACTGACTTGGCGGGCGAGGTTCCCGACCTGTCGGCGAGCTACGAGGCGGGGGTGATTTTTCTTTCTCCTCGGCCCGGGGATGAGGCCTGACTCTTGTGGGGGTTCTGAAGTTGGGAGGCTTCTCCTCGGTGATGGCGTCCACCCTGAGGGGAGGGCTTAACCAGCTTTGGAGCAGGGTGCCGAGGTGGAAGCAGTGGTTGGTTCAGAGGCAGTTGGGTGAACTGCTGCTGATAGTGATACTGAGAGATGTGATGCAGTACTTGATGCTACTAGAGTTGATGTTGCTGGAATTGTTGCATTTGGGCTTGCATTGCCCGCATGCATTGCATCAGGTCGTCCAACTGGTTCGAACTGGTCGCCAGGGGGACAGCAGTTGGTTCATTAAAGGTTGTTTCGACAGGGAGAGGAAAGGGGGCGTTCATGGCGGAAAGGTTTACGGGCGCCACTGTTCGTGGCGCATTCAGGCTGGGGGTCCCATCCACCGGAAGGGAGATGGTGAACTGTCCGATGCACACCACGGGGGCTTGAAGTTGTTCCTCGGTGGTGTTCATCTCCGTGCCACGTCCGGCATTGCTAGAAGAAGCCATGAGTGTTGGGGTTTTTTGGAAAAAAGAGGTTATGAGAGTTTTAGAGGGAAGCTTTTAGAAGCGTTCCCACAGACGGCGTCAATTGATGGTGCGCAATCCGGCGGGTCCTAGCTGTCAAGGATCTTGCCTCGGGCTGGTGCAGAAGGTGCCTGAAACGAAGGGGAAAGAGAGTAATCTCCGGGGAAGAACCCGATGAGTATGCTCTGAAGCTCAAGTTAGTATTTTGTCAAAGGCAAGATAAAACCAGATGGCGCAAAGTTCACATACCTTGTTCTTGGGGGGTAGAGAGCCTTTTAAAACCACTTCGCGCACTCACTCCTAAGCTTCTGTCAGGTCGTGTATGATTACTTCTGTGCTTCTGCCAGTTCGGGTGTCATCACCTCTGCTGGGGCAGAACCGCCACTGCTCTCTTTGTCGGAACCATCTCTGTAACTGGAGATGGCGGTGGCAGGTGTTTGGCATGCCTTGTTAATAGTAGCGTACTACCATGTTCAATTGTGTCCAAGTGAATGGGGGACTCACCTATTTATAGAAAAGGGGTTTCATCTAAGAACTAACACGTTTATTGTCACATGTGGTTGGAGCTCAGTCCACTTGTCACGCCCTCGGTTGACATGTTGTGTACACATGATAGGTAGTATGCATATATTGAATGCACTGTCATTGATGTGCTGATCAACTCAACCACGTGTTAATTGTGCTTGTTATGAATTAGTGTCAGATCAGCTCATTAGATCCAAGTCAGCTCATAGCTCGTTAGGACCAGGTCATCTCGTCAATTGACAATTCCGCCCCGCCCCCCAACATGCTACCACTTGGCGGTCGGTTTTCGCCTTATAGTGTTCTCCATTTGATGATCATAGAATCAAAAATTAAGCAAAGTACATGTATACCTGAATCATAGAATCATGAGTTTAACAGATTGTTTTACATTATGTGGCTCAAAAAAAAAAAAAAACATTTTCAAAGGGATTGTTAGTATACCACTTTTTTAAACTATATGTGAACCGAACAACACTACTTACTGTGTGGTCTCATATACACGGTTGTTCACACATGTCAGGGGACTAGTTTGTTCTAGAATTGTTGGAATATAAATTGATGATCTGGTGGAGCCTCTTGGGCTTAACAATAATAAATAAAACTAATCGTTTTCATTTGAATCATTTACAAATAAGATTCCCTTGTAAATCCTTATATTGGACCTAAAACACCCAGACTTCCACAATTTACATTAAGAGCCCGGCTGACTCCATTTCTGTAGACGTGCACAGAACGAAACAATTCGACCAGGTCGATGATCATCACTTGATGCTTACTCTAGGCTATCCACCATTGACAGTCTTGAGGGAAAAGCATGTAAGCGCATGGTTTGAATTTGATATTATAATAAGTGCGGAACCGTCCCCATGATCCAATGCGAATATATTCACCTCCACACACAAACATGGAGAGACCGACCCCCTCACAGCCACCCAGTCAGCCACCACCCAAAACCAAAACAAAAGCGGAGAACAACTAATAAACACCACCTGCTTTCTTGTCTTATCAACTAAGGTTGTAGGCTTGTAGCCGGTATTCTCAAACTGGAGGTCGGCCTTGAACATCTGTCAATATTCCACCTAAAAGAAGAGACAAATTAAGCTTATAAAATGCTCTTCATGAACCAAACTCTAATTCTCACACACTAGTCATTTCTTCTTCTCCTTCCGACCTCCCAGCTCTCCATCTCAATGCCGACTTCTCAACATACTTGGTGTATTGTTGTCCTTCTTCTCATAAATTCAAGCCAAACACTGTGCCATACCAAAGGTATCCGACCAAGGAAGTCGGCAGGTTCGAACTTATCGACCAATATGACAAATACCCAGTTAGCAGAACAACAATTCATGAAATGGGTCACATTTGTTGGAAGCCTCAGACACTCTCTCTTCTCCACAGCAAAGAACAAACTCTTCCCTTCTTATACTCTTACTGTTCATAAAAACCCGGCTGCCGGAGATTTTACATCGATTCAAGATGCCATTGATTCACTTCCATCCGTTAACCTTGTGAGGGTTGTTATCAAGGTCAATGCCGGAGTCTATACGTGAGTACTGAGTTCTTGATTCCGTATACAGTTTTAAACTGCGTTTTGATTCTTTTGTTTTGTTTTATGCCAATTGATCGAGCTTGCTTCCACTCATTGATCATGAGAGTTGAAACTTTGTCTATATTAATTCTGATGGGATTGATTCTTTTCTTTTTCAATATGATTGAAAATTTTGAAAACACTGGAGTTTCATGGAACGGAGCCATTTGCATGCATTTGTTTGTTGCTCTGTCCTTACGTATCTGATATCTGATCAAATACCATGAGAACGGGTCTGGCTCAAATACAATATTTACATTTTTTTTCTTGTTCTGTTTCTTTGTGTTCTATTCTAACTACTGGTAAAATCTAACTTGGGTTTGATTCCATGATATGAAACTTGTAGGGAGAAAGTGAATATACCACCATTGAAATCCTTCATAACCATAGAAGGAGCAGGAGCGGATAAAACAATTGTCCAATGGGGAGACACAGCTCAAACACCTGGGCCGAATGGACGGCCCATTGGTACCTTCAATTCTGCAACTTTTGCCGTGAATTCCCCTTATTTCATAGCTAAGAACATTACTTTTAAGGTAAAACTAAAGGACTTTAATAGATTTATATATATAAACTCCATTAAGATTAACCTCTCCCCACACCACACCACCCCGAAATCTCTCTCTCTCTCTCTCTCTCTGAGAGAATGAATATGTGGTGCAGAACACAACACCCCTACCGCCACCGGGAGCAATTGGAAAGCAAGCAGTAGCATTCAGAATTTCCGGAGATACGGCAGCGTTCTGGGGCTGTAAATTCTTCGGCGCACAGGATACACTCTATGATCATCTAGGTAGACACTACTACAAAGACTGCTACATTGAAGGCTCTGTGGATTTCATCTTTGGCAATGGTCTCTCACTGTTTGAGGTTAGTCTCTCATATTTTTTGCATCATTACTCTCTATGTTCATGAGTTCATGTCTTTTCTAACTGTATCAATCGATCCTGTAATATCAGATTCTCACTTTCTAGCATAATCTCTTAACTTGAAAAGAAATCATCTATTTTGTTTTTTATTTTTTTTTTTAACTAACAACCGGAATATGACAAGTCGTTTGTTTGTGCAATTGCTTTTAGTTAAAAAGTGAGAGACCCGGCAATAAAGTTTGATACTTTGTTTTTTGTATAGAGACCATTAATACCTAATCAGTTTCATTACTAATAAAATATTAATGAAAGGACAGCTCCTCAATTAGTGTTATCGAATATGCAATTTCTGGACCTTGACCCACAGCCACAGGCCACACCCACCAACTTTTCACAAGTCTAGGCCAACTGGCTTGAATTGTTTTATATTTTGAGCCCAACCCATGTGAGCATCTTCCATCCATAATAAATTGTGTGCTACGGCCCAAATGGGTTCAAGCCCAACTTAAAGATGCAGATGATGAGCTGGGGCCTGGGGCCTGGGGCCTGGGGATGCCATACATTGATACCAATATGAATACCTAATTAAACCTAATTTAAGTGCATTTGTAGGCATTTTTGTTATGACATGTGTGTGTATTTGAAATGGAAAGGGCATTATAAATGCCCAAGGGCCAAGGCCAATGAGAGAGTTACTATTCTATTAATGGTTGTTATGGTCACGTTTGTTACTTGACAGGGATGTAATGTGCACGCAATAGCTCAGAAATATGGAGCTGTGACTGCCCAAAGCAGGATGAGCCTCCTAGAAGACACTGGGTTTTCATTTGTCAACTGTAGAGTCACTGGCTCAGGAGCTCTCTATCTTGGGAGGGCATGGGGTACCTTCTCCAGGGTCGTCTTTGCCTATACCTATATGGACAATATTATCATTCCCAAAGGCTGGTATAACTGGGGAGACCCTAACAGACAAATGTACGTCTCATCTCTCTCTCTCTCTCTCTCTCATGCCATCTCTTATTAGTAATAGTTACTTCTCAACAAGTGCAAATAAAAAAAAAAAAAATCATAAAGAAGCAAGCATATTTAATTGAGGTTCCTGGCACCACCACCGCCCCATCGTGGCCGCCACCAACACCTGACTTCTGAGTGGGGCCGACCTGAAGCAGAAGGCCACTTCTGAGTTCTGAGTTCTGAGTTCCCCTTTGCCAGACTCTGAACAGTCTAACATGAGCTTGAAACGTCGAGTGCAGGAGTCGGAATTCACAGACCTACCAAATGTCGCCATAGTTTTATACTAACCTAAAGAAAAGGGTGCAAGCTTCAATTCTGTCCAAATCATTCAGACCTTTCAGATAAACCCCTGCAGTTTGTTAATTAACTATTGTTGTAGGACTGTATTCTATGGACAATACAAATGCACGGGACCCGGAGCAAGTTTCGCGGGAAGAGTTTCATGGTCAAGAGAACTCACCGACGCTGAGGCCAAGCCTTTTACTTCACTGACCTTCATTGACGGATCTGAGTGGATCAAATTCTAATTTATATTAATACATGTCTCCTCATTAGTTAACTAATCAGCAGTGTAAAGTATTGTTTTTAGTCTTTACTTGTTATATTTATAGATACAGCAGAAGTAGGTAGTCAATAATAATTTTGCTTCATTTGGAATGGCTTTCGGAATCGGAAAGGTAGTGCGTTCGATCGATTCTTTTATGCGGTAGTTTAAAAAAACAAAAGGTGAAGACTGAAGAGTGAGGAAAGAATGAAGACGATCGAAGACCATTCTGATTCTGTAACTCAGCTCCCTCCCCACCTCTCTCCGCGCGCATTCAGGAATCAGGAATATTGAGGATAAAAGAAATCGTAAAGTTAATCAGAGTACCTTTATTCCAGTTTTTGGGCACTTGTGTTTGGAATTTGGAATTTGGAATAGAATGGCAAAGAGCAGAAGCAGTGGTGTCGTTTTCCTTTTCCACGTAGAATGAAAATTTTTGGAACTGGGCCTTCCCGCCATAAGTCACTGCTCCTGTATCGTCAGACTCGGAAACGACGCCATTCTCATTCTGTTTCTGTTACGGGCTTACGGCTTACGGTTACGGTTACGGAGGTCAAATTGGTATCTTCTCTTCTGTTTAATCTGTTTGACTGTTTATGTTTCCGTTCCGTTCCGATCCTAACTTTTTTGAAGTCCATGGAATTAAAAAAGTTAAAAAAAAAGAAAAAAGAAAAGAGTTAATCCACTGCAATCCCCAACCTTTCAAAATTCAAACTCATTAAAATTGAATTAGAAAACTACGCCTTGATTTGCTTTAATTATGGGTATTGGTAACCTAAAAAACCGTAGCCCTCTAAATCTTCGTAAAGTTAATAATATTTATCATGTTAGCTTTTACAATAAATATTATAATAATACTGCCGTAAATCTCTCTTTTCTAAAATGACGAATGCAGAACCCAGTGGGCGATACCAGTAACACATATGACTTCACCACCCACCCAATTATCTCGATCGTAGCAACTAGCAAGAGCTTTCGATTTCTCTTTTTTGACAATTTCTTCGATAAAATAAAATATTATCTATTTATCGAATTTCTTTTCTTTCATATTTATTTATCGAATTTCAAGTCGATACAAGCGGCTTCATCTATAGTCTATAGCCGAGGCACTGTAACTCTGCACTTGGCAAAAGCTTCACTACTGTTTATCCATACAACAATATGAGTATATGAAATTGTATTCTGAACCCTGGTGGCCACGAGAAGAGCTTTTGACTAGCTATTCGAGCTCGGTTCGTGAAAAGCTCATTTTGATTCGGTTTAAATTGAGCTTTGAGTCAAGTTCAAGCTTGATATATAGGCTTATTTGCTAATTGAGTCAAGTTCGAGTTCAGTACAGCTTGGCTTGTGAGGCTCGCAAGCTTAATATAATAAATAAATATTTTTTATTATAAACATACATACATATAAATATATGTAATAATAGTTTTTATTTTATATATAATATTTTTATTTTTTATGTATAATAGTAAATAATTTTTTGTATGTAAAATAAAACATTTTATATGTATATTTTTTATTTTTGATATGTATAATAATAAAAAAAATTTATAATTCTTAATTTTTTGTATGTAAAATATAGGGGTGTTCACATTAAATGTCAAACCGACGAAACCAACCCAACCCAACCCGAGTTGGTCGGTTTCGGTTTGTATAAAAAAATAACCGACAACTCGGTTCGGTTTCGATTTTCATACAACTAAACCGATCCTATATGTTTAACTTCATAAGTAATTATTAATTAGTCCTACCCTATATGTTAAAGGTTGATATATGTTATTTGTGTTTGTTTGAACATTGAAAAAAAATGGTTATTTATGATAAAAACTAAAAACGTAAAACCAATAAAAATATAAAACAATGGTACAATATTTAATTCAGTTTTGTATAAATTTAAATATATATTGACAAAAAAAAACAGTTTTGCATAAAAAACTAATCGATTTAAATATATATTTTGATTTTACATAAAAACCAAAAAGAAATAAACTGAAACATAAATAGATATTTTAGTTTAATAAAATAAAAATTAGTTTTACACTTCTAATAAAAGAGCAAATTGCCCCATTTTTTGGACTTTTCATTAGACATTTTTACCCCTTATCTAAGCAACATACAACGGACATAAAAAATGGCATATATGTCCTTTACTCTAACTCCAAAAACTGTCCACTTATAACTGTTCAAAAACTGCCCATGAATTGTAAATAGTTTTGTCTTGGAGATATTGTCACGTGCAAATGCATGTATATAAACTGATAAACCGACCCTTCATGTTTGGGTCAGTTTTGTTTCAGGGTCGGTCGGTTTCGGTTTAGTCAATAAGTAAACCAACTAGGTCAGGTCGGTTGAAGAAAATGACACAACCCGACCCGTGAACACCCCTAGTAAAATATTAAAATTATTTTTATATGTATATTTTTTTATTTTTTAGAAAAAACTTGGCTTGTAGTCGAGCTCAAATTTGCGAGCTTTGAGCCGATCTGAGCTCGAGCCTAACACAGTTTTAGCGAGCCAAGTATTCGGCTCAAATCCTCCCCTAGTAACCGGATGAGAAGGAATTAGATATTAGTCTTCTGAGATTAATATCATTTTTGTCATTTTTCCTCTAACTAAGACCATTTTTGTCAATTTAGATATTAGTCTTGTGATGACAGGAGCAGCTGGATAAATTCATAAATCAAGCAAAGACTGAGAGTGCCGAGAGAACTTGACATTTTTTAGGGTCAATTACAAAGTACCCTCATACTATGGGGTCAATGACAACTACCCCCGATCTTTCATTGCAACAAAGATTTCCCTCTACTATGGGGTTAGTGAGAATTACCCTAATCTGAACTTTTATTTGTGACAAAGATCCCCTGAACTTTCACCTTGCAATAAATACCTCCTTTTGTAGAATTTCGTCGGGTAACTTTGAAAAAGATTTTTATTTGACTGCCTAATGTTTTTAAAATTCCCAAACCATCCTTTTTTATTTATTTTAACAATTTATAATGTGACCTATTTTCTAAATATAATATTGAATTTCTCTTATCCTTGTAGTCTTGCAGATTTTTAGTTGGGTTCATTATTCAGATGAAATGATAGAGGTTTCTTTCTAAGTGATATAAATTTAAGGTTTCCTTTAATTTTTCTTAATTTATTAGATAAGGGAGCGGATAATTTTTATATTTTAAGATGAAGAGAGACATTCACATCACTTAAATGAATTAAGAATTTAAAGAAATTTGTTTTTTTATTCTAGTGAAATAATTATTTTTATTTTAGCATGTTTCATATGAAGAAAATGGAGATATTTTTGGGTCAATTAGGATTTAAGAGAAAATGACAAGGAAAAGAAAATAAGGAAAATTAATGCGAGTATTTTGGTAATTTAACATATTTTATCCTTTTTTTGAGTTTTTGAAAACAATGGAGATACATTAGAGCAATGGGATACGATTCTAATTTCCCTTATGAACTAGTGATGTTAATGACTTTAAGGGGGCGTTCTTTTTTCGGATTTTGAGAGGGGGAAAAGTTGGTCAATGGGATTTTGGTTCCCATTGACCAAAAATCCCATGTTCTTTTTTCAGATTTATGTGGGGACCCGAGAAAGTTTATTTTCCTAGGCGATACCCATCTCCTAGGTGAATAAATAACTTTTCCACTTAGGAGGGAAGTTGCCAACATTTGAATGAGACAAAAATGACTATTTTAATAATGGATTTTTATGGCTAAAATAGTCATTGCCTTATTTATGTGAAAAATAAAAGAACATGGGCAAATGCACTTACCTAAATAAGTGTTTCCTAGGAAAAACTTACCCAAGCAACTTCATTTACCTGGATAAGTAACTTGCCAAAAAACGAACGGGGCCTAAGAATGAAGGGCTATGAGATGGAAAACAAAGTTGAAAGAGAATAATATTAAATTTGTTTGAAGTGATCAAAGAAAAGTATGTTTCAATTTTCTGTCATAACAATGGAAGGGGGCGTTGCACATAGAGAAGAGGGTTTGAGGTAGACGAAGAGTTTTCTCACTTTTGTTATTTTCTAACAAGGGCAATCAGCAATTTGGAATCCAAAAACAAATCTGGGTCTGCTCCTCATAGAATGTTCGTCACAGAGTCTGCTCCATGAATGATAATATATAAGTACCAGAGATATCCCCAATGTGCTGTGATCGTGAGGTTGGTTCGTGGAGCACTCTAAGAAGAGCAAATCCAAATTCCAAAAAAAAAATGTTTTCCTCCCACTCACTGTTTATGCTATTAATAACCTAAAATAGCAAAATTTGGCAATACAACAAACTTAGGTCATTTTATTGCAATAATCGAAGTTAGTGTTTTCCAAATTTTAAATGCAATGAGTGCACATATAGGATTATACCCAAAATATATAACATTAATATCACATTATTTTTTAGCACTTATACTATCCTGTCCCAAATTTTTTATGCACAAAAAGACTTGAGCTCAGTTGTGTATAAATATATTCTAAGGAATATTAATATGGCTGCTCAAACCTTTAGCGCAAATATTAACCAAATGGACCCTAAAATTTCAAAAATTAAAATTTTTTTTTAGTGTAGGCCCTCCTTTTCCAAATAATATTCTGTACCAATCTAAATCAAAATCCTTGAGCCTTTGGATTTTGCAGACAAGCCACATGTTGGATTTTGCCAGCTGGTCGAGATGGCAGACCACGACATGAAAAATCAGGTCGAGCCCAAATTTGTAGAGAGGGTGGAGACTGGAGATATCCCCATTCCCCCATCAGGAACCCGGCCAAGATTAATCGAGTCTTGAGTTCAGCAAAATGGCCCTCGCCTCTCCGCTATTATTGGATAGGTAATTACACTACATTTCACCACCACCCAATGATCCAAATGCAGAGAACACATCCCCCACTTTTTCTTTTAAGTTATGACATTTTCACAGTTTAACTCTATTGCACTTACAGTGACTGAACGTTTGTGCAAATCGATTATTCTCTCCAACCTTTTCCAATGGTAACAACATGAAACAAGAGATGCTCGAATTCCAAAGGGAATCGACTGGACTCTGGTACAGATTCTTAACAATTTGACAGGATCAAAAGATTCTTCTTCCTTCCAAACACGGTTCCACTTCCACCTCTGTAAACAATAAAGTCATCATCATAATTGCCTTCATTGTTCAAATACAAAGAAATTCAAATCAGATCTCATTTGTGAATATACAAAACACTTTTTTTGTGTTATAGTCGCATAATTTCATATTTCATACAGGTTACACAGAAAAGAGTTTAGAACATACAAGGGAAAAAAAAAGAAAAAATGGACAGATTATCATCTTCATCTTTTCATCTCCCACTTCACCATCTCCTTTGAAAGTAGTAATCCCTCTCTGTTTCCCTAACAAATTCGGCAGATCTATCTAACCTGCCCATTACAGCATTCTTAAAATTGAAAGCTTCCTGGACTTGAGAACAGGAACGCTGCATTCGAACTCCACTCAGACTAGCTCTTGACTCCACCATTTCGTTCAGTGAAAGCCTCTTCCTGGGACCCGGCTCTGGCCTTTGCTTTGGAGCACTGTATGACCTCACCTTTGCCTTGAACGACTGTGTGTCTGCCATGTAGTTAGGGAAGTTTGAGTGTCCCCGGAAGAAGCTATCGCCGCACACGCTCTTAGCAGGAGTAACGGGTGCATTGGACCCACCGGAATTTACAAACCGAGGGGTGCTCTGTGCGGTGGAGAACCTACATTCGTCGCCGGTGAAGCTCCAGTCGAAGTCCTGGAAATTACGGCAATCCGGTATAGAGAGACGAGCAGGAATCTGGCATGGAAGGGGAGAGGAGACCGTTTGATAAGTTGGGTCTTCGCCGCACTCCGACATCGAGGTGTTGGTTCTACGGAATCTCGACTTGGGTCTTACTGTATCGATTTCGACAATCTTTGGGCTCTCTTCGAAGGTGGTGGTGGCAGGATCAATAGATGCCGATAGCCTCCGACTGTGAAAAGATGCAGTGTGCTCGCTTCTTGTTTCATCGAATCTTTCCTGAAAATGAGAAGACACGAGAATTGAGAAGAAATGTTTACTAATGTACCAAATGTGCTAACAGTGTCGGACTTTGTAAATCAAAACTCCCCCCAAGATTCTTACAATAGATTTGCGCGGTGGTCGGGTTTCTGGCTGAGATATGTGTTCTCTGTTGTGGAGAGTACGAGCTTTCTGGGATCGGACGGTGGCCTGAGCTCTTATAAGAGCTTGCATACTGTGAAGAGTCGCAGCAGCCTGCTTACGAACGAGGTAACCTCTAACAAGTGCCTGTAACTTAACCAGACCCTTTAAAGCTCGAAGAGCCTTTCTTGCCTGAAACAGTTTCGAACAGAAACAAATGATGAACTCTGATGAAATCTAATTACTGAAGTAGGCTAGGAGAAAAAGAACTAGAGAATTAGCCACTAGTGCTTTAACAGATTAAAGGAATTAAGATCAGTCGAATATGGTCTGATTAGTTGCGACAATGTGAGCAAACGAAAGTAATACAGGAAAAGGAAATCAATCAGCCCAAATTTGAATAAACAACCTCCAAACTTGGAACTAAAGTCAAAGAAGAAGAGAACAATAAAAAAAGCAGATAAACGAAGAACTGGACAATTTACAAATTCAAACAAAGAAGAGTGTACCTAAATACTAATAACCATTGCTTGACCCAGATTCAGCTAACCAATAATGAAGCAGAATAAGATCAGTCAAACTAAATCCTCAGTCGAGAGAGCAAACAATTCCCATTGTAAGAATCAAAAGATAAGGGGAAAATCTCCAAAGAAATAAAAAACCCACTCACCAAATACCCCCGGAAAACAGTCTGAATCTTCGCAGCGGCCAAGTTTTCCCGCCTTCCACCAAACGTCATCCCTCTTCCCTGGCTCGTGAGCCTCACAACGGCCGCCGCCGCCTGCGCAGCAGCAACGGCAGCATCAGCTGCGGCAGCCGTCGCCGCAGCCACAGCAATTGCGTGCTTGTTCTGCTCCTTCTCGGTCTGGCTGTAATAAGACCTCAGCCAGGCAGCATCTACCGAAGGTACATTGGGCGGGATAATAGCTGGGATCTGGCTCGTAGACACCGCATCCCTCCCTGACTTCCCAAAACTCCACCTTCTCTTATCTTTCCGGTCGCCGGCGTTGGAATTGTCTTTATGGTCCTTATCTTTCTTCAACCCTAACAAGCCCCTCAGCCATCTTGTCGCTCTCCCCATTTCCCGATCAATGAGAAGAACCGAACAAATGGAGAGATACCCTCAATAGGCCCAACAGATGGAGAAAACAGTAAGGGGCGAAATACAATTACAGGTAAAGGTTTGAAAGGAAAACTGTGTTAAAGCTCTAGAGGATCTTTCCATGTTGCACAGACATTGAACTGAGTAAACAAGCGAGGAAAACTATAAAAAAAAAAGAAACAGCAAAGTTGATAATAAGAATAGTAAAAAAAAAGGATAAAGAAAGGAGATTTTTGAAAAATAGAAACCTGTCAACACCTCGTGAAGAACTGCATTACAGGACAAAAAGATGTCACAGAAGAAAACAGGGGTCCAAGAATAAAAGCTTGAAACTCAAACTGAACAAACAAATGGAAATTACAGCCAGATCCAAGCACAGTGACCCTTTAAATAATAGAAATCATATCAGTGGGAGCGAGTAACTACTTCCTTAAATTCAAAAAGAGAAAAGGGTAAAAGAAAAAAAAATCGATTTTTAATTTGCTTTGACCACTAAGAAACTAGAAAAGCTCTCCACCTCTCTCTTTCTCTGTATAATTACTGTATCACACTAGCTTTCTGGAGCGACGTGTCCTCAAAAAAATAAGAAAGATACCTCACTGTTCTCAGCCGCTGACAATCTCGTGAATCTATTCAGTTTTTATGCTCATCTTATGAAGTCACCCCTCTTATTTTTCTATTTCTATTGTTTTGGTAAATTATTTTTTCTATTTGTGATCTGTGATTTGCAAAAACAATTTCTCCATTTTCTGTTTTCAGCCACTTGAAATACGAATAAAATTACCCTTTTTTCCTCCAACTTAAAATACCGAAAATTCATACTCGACCTAAACACCATGGTAGATAGTGAACCACAGCCATTAAAGCCCAGCCATTAAGAGGATTTGGTCGTTGATCTTCAGCAAATCTGAACTCGTTTAAATTGTTATGGGAATATCAATCGTCTCGGACCTCGGTACGGGTATTAACCCATAATAATAATTTGTAGTAAAAAAAGGAATAATAGTAAATAGGGACGTTTCTGTAAATTTATATGATCCTACTCGATTCCACGGCAGGTGCCTATGCAAGATGCGGTCCCGCCCTTCCAATGGAGCATGAAAGTCCGAGATTATTTTAGGTTGGGCCGTTGGGATGATTCGTATTAAGATTTTAAAAGTTGCTAAAGATGGATATAAATGTTTGTTCTTCCAACAATATTGGGACTTGGGCCTAAAGGAGATGTGGGTGGAGTGCTTTTTAAGGATGAGGTCTTAACCCAAAAGTTTAAATCAATTTATAGAACTCTTAAGTTAAAAATTTAGCTGAGTTTATACCAATCGGTCTTTGCAACATAGGTTATAAAATATAAAATTATAAAAGTCTTGATTAATAAATTGAAGCTTTTCTTAAATATAAAGGAAAATTTCTGATTAGTATCCTGTAATTTGGGCTAGTGCTACTTTGGTCCTTAAACTTTAAAATGCGACAATTTAATACCTGAACTTTCAAAACATAACAATCCAATACATGCTGTTAACTAGTTGCTAACCAGCCATTAAATGGAATTCGAAAAAGACATAAATGTCCTTCGAGTGTCATCTAATTTTATTTATCAAAATTTATCAACTATCCAAACATTGACAAAAAATTAACAATTCCAGATCCTTGCCTCTCCTATTCAAGAAAGTTGGGATCATAATACCCACTCAAACGTGATCCCAACTTTTTTGAATGGAAAAGGCAAAGATTTGGGACTGTTAATTTGTTGTTAACTGTTTAGATAGTTGAGAAAATTAAATAACACTTGAAGGGCATTTGTGGCTTTTTCAAATGCCACTTAACGGCTGGTTAATAACTAGTTAACGGTAGGTATTGGATTGTCACGTTTTAAAAGCTTGGATACTGAATTGTCACATTTTAAAGTTCAGGACCAAAGTGGCAATAGGCCCAAAGTACAGGATAATAATCGGGGATTTTCCCTAAATAGAATTATCTCTATCAGCCAAAGTGCTTTTATTCTAAAAAGGGTAATATCGTACAACTTCCTACTTGTGTGTGAAGTGACATACAATGTATATGTTTGGAATCGATGTTGCAGTTAGAAAACCGTGTTGTATATGTGTGGGCTAGAAGTACCATTTTCTGAGAAAACGGTATCTTTTTTTTTTGTTTGAAAACATTGTTGTCAGGTAGGACGTTTCCTAGAGCAACAGCAACACATTCTGTTTGGTACCAGTACTCCATATCTGTTTAAAGCATTGGTACCCATTATAGGAAGTCCACTTCACTACCACATCATATTGTCGTTGGCAGCAACAAGCCCCAATTTGAGAAAACATCGAATTCAGCATTGTTCCAAACCACACCTTTTCGATTTTCAAGGCGTGGCTTGGAGCACCATTTTTTATAGAAAAATGGTTCCAAACATATTGGTGTATCCTAAAACATCGATTTTTTCAACGTGGCACTAATGTATCACCATTTTCTGGAGCAACGACACCGGTTCCAAACACCGAGTATATGAATCACAAGGCATCCAGTGGTTTCATGGTAGTTAAGTTAGATGTAAGCAAAGCTTATGATAGGTTGAGTTGGATTTTCTAAAAAAAAAAGGACCATGAAAAATTTAGTGTTTGGAAGAAAATAGATTAACTAGATCATGAAATGTGTCTTTTCATTTTTCCCACCAAATCCTAGCCAATGGCTTTCCTTCTAAAAAATCTTTCCCCAAAGGGGCCTCACACAAAGAGGCCCTCTCTCATCTTATCTTTTTGTCTTGTACTTAAATGTATTTTCTAATATTCTAAACCATAAAGTTGAAATGAAAGATATTTCCAAAATTAATGTCTATAGACAAGCTCTAATATTCTAAACCATCTTATCTCACTTCTAAAATGAACCCTAAAGAAGAAAGTGTTCCATTGGGTGCTACGAAAAGGCCTCAAGCCAACACATGAAATATAATAAATGTGAGGTTTTTTTCAATTCAAACATGCATGCAAGGCTTAAAAGATTAGTTATCACTTGCCTTCATTTTAAGAAAGTTGAAAGACCTTCTGTTTATTTGGGACCTTTCCCTTATATTGGAAGAAAAAGAAAAAACAAATTTTCGAATACTTAATTGATTGAGAGAGTAACAAACAAGATTAAAGGGTGAAGAGGCAAACTTCTATTCCAAGCAGGAAAAGCAGTTGTCAAATTCGACCGTGGTCCTGCCAATTGCTTTTTATGTTTTTTACTTCTAAAACATATTTGTGACTTGATGAAAAATGTAAAAAGGTTTTTGGTAGGGAGATTATGAAAAAAAAAAGGAAAAAAAATAGATGGGTTCATTGGGATAAAGTGTGTAACAACGAGAACAATGGAGGCGTTGGTTTTAGAGACCTGCAAGTTTTTAATTTGGCTTTGTTAGCCACGTTAGTTTGAAGGCTTTGTAACAAGGTTTCTAAAACTGAATCGGATAATGAATCAGTCAGGAATCTGGTTTTCGAGTTGAATGGTCCTACCGTTTGAACCGAACAGATGATCCATTCTAACAAAAAATTAAAAAATGGCCAAACTGTTGAACAGTTCGATCGCCCGAATCAGCGGTTTGCTGACCAAATTAACGGTTTTTGACAAAATAACGGTTCTGAGATAAAATGGAACTGATCACCACCTGACCGGTTCCCGATTTTTTCAGTCCCACCATCTGGTCCGATCCGATTACCATGCTTTGTAATGACTCATCCAACATGTGGGCTTGAACACTCAAAACAAAATTTTTCTCAAATGATTCTTTCTTTCATGCAAAAATGGGAAGTAAACCATCTTGGGGTTTGAAAAGTGTGATGATGGACGGGAGGCAAATTCTTGAAAAAAGAATTGTTTGAAAAATTAACAAGGGTAAAAAAATTAATATATGCGATAGTCCTTTGATTCCAAATGTGGAAGGCTTCAAGCCCTACGGTCCTAGACTTGCTTCCTCTACAAATTTAATGGTAATTGACTTAATAGACCCAAGGCAATGAATATTGGAATTGGAATATGGTAAACAGTTTTTCTCTCCCTACATTGCACGGAAAATCCTCTATATTGACATGTCAGCCAATGGGTGGGATGATAAAGTGATATGGACAGGTAATAAGAAAGGTATTTTACAATAAAGTCAGCAAACTTTGTAGCAAAAGGGTGCTAGGGTGAAGGTGCTTCTGGGCGTATGCCTCCTAGGCTGTGTTTGGTTGTAATGTAAATAAATTTGTACTGATATAAAATCGTGGCAGTGTAGATGATTTGAGTATAAATTCTGATTTATTTTGTTTCAAATTTTAATTTATTTTGTTTGATTGCATTACAAATGAAGTAAATTAAAACATGAAGAAGAATAAAATAAAACCCAAAACAAAAATAAATAAAAATTTATATTTTTTTCATTTGCACTCTCATACATTTGTACTAGTGCAAATAAAATTGCACTGCAACTAAACACAGCCTAGCTTAGATAAGAAATTATGGAATTTAATTTGGAGTCTTTAGATTGAGCTAAAAGTGAGGTAATTTATCTCGAGATGTTGTACAAACAGTATAAATGTTAAAGTCAATATGCAAAATAGAGGCTTATCTTCTTCGGCCTACTATATTAAATACATTTGTACTAGTGCATTTGGTTGGGTTCACGCATTAGGCTAAATCCAAAACAAGAAAGAAACTTTCCATCGTTTGATAATTGGTTCCAATTTATTTTAGAAAGCTTGGGAAAACCAAACTGTGTGATTTAATTTCAAACATTTGCATTATGCTTTGAGAAATATGGAAAGATGGGAATTCTTTTGTGTTTGTTCAGATGGATACTAACCCTTTGATTGTAATCAACTCCGTTCACAGTCGTTTGTTCCAGGGTTAGAGATGTTCTCTATTCCTTATTTTTGGATTTCGTGAGATGAAGATTTTTGGAAAATAAATACAAACAATGGGTTTTTAAGCCCAAATAAGGCTTCTTTTAACATTGTAGTCAGAGATCTTACGGGTGTGTGTTGGGGTGAGGTTCATACCAGTTCCAAGCCTCTTCTCCCCTTCTTGTTGAAGCAAAAGCTATGTTGGAAGCGGCTAATTTTTCTTTTGAATGAAACTTATACAGGATTATCTTTGGATCAGACTATTTGCAACTTGCCTCTTGTCTCAATGGGGGAGCTAAAGAGATTCACCAGGAAATCTCCAGATGTGTTCCAAGAGACTAGTCAAGTTTGTCTGGTGTTCGAGAAGCTCAAACGAGGCTTCCCATGCATTTGCGAAACTAGATTGGAAATCTTCTTTCAAATCCTTAAAAAGTAATTCCTTTTTATTTGTCTAAAGCATTAAAGTTTGATTTGTCTGGGTTGGAAATCTTCC